AAAAAAAAAAAAAAAAAAAAAAAAAAGGTATCCTAATATGCAACCAGTTTAGCAGTATTTTTAAGAATTATAATACAATGCAACTTCATTCATCTGAAATGGAGCACAAGATCCTTTTGAGGGAATTCATACCCATTTCTGCAAAAGTTCTGTGGACTCTTGAAAGTAGCAAAGAACTAGGCACTTGTGTGTGTGTGTGTGTGTGTGTGTGTGTGTGTGTGTGTGTGTGTGTGTATTTCCAAAGAGATTTTAGGATGGTCTCGATCTCTTGACCTCTTGATCCACCCACCTCGGCCTCCCAAAGTGCTGGGATTATAGGTGTGAGCCACCGCGCCTGGCCAGGAGTATTCTTTTCAATCAAAGAGTAACCCCCAGTAGTGGAGGTCTATCCGGGAGAGGTGTTTTTGCACATTGCTCTATAGAGCTGTTACTGAGGAACTTCACCAGGGGTATGTTAATCGCTCCTAACCAGACAGTCATGTTGTACGAGTTTCAGGCAGAGTGAGAGAATAAAAAAAAACAAATGTGAGAGTTGCAGTGTGCAACAGAGAGCATAGAAAGGAACAGATCATCTGGAGCGAACAGTGTTTGTGTCCAGAGCAGAATTCGGTCAGCATCTGGAGTTGTCTTCTTCAGCGTAATGTCCAGTATCTTATCTGTGTTTTCCAAGGAAGCTGCATCGTCCAGGGCTGCAGGTCCTGCAGGGTTGTATTCTTTTTCTTTTGGTACGGTGTTGTTTCCCAGCCACGCCATGGTAAGGTTTGATGTGTCTCACTGGAATTCAAAGAGGACCTGAGGGGGTGTGAACACAAGCATATTCTTCTCCCAATGCTAACGGGTCATTTAGACAACACCATACATTACTGTTTCCATCTTCCCATAAAACTGAAGGGTTTATATTTTGAGTGATTTTTGCAAAGTGCTTTTCTATGCCTGATTGAAATTTATCATCTAAATTTAAGAAATTCAGAGTAAATAATGCTTGTGCCAACAGCATTGCTGGGTCTTTACTCGTATTTCTCTTGTTTTCTGAGCATATTTTCAAGGGTGAAGTGGGCAGGTTCCTGTCCTTGGGTGTTATACAAGATACCCATGGAAAGTTGGACATTCCATGTTTGACAAAATTGTTGAAATTGTGAGCTTGTGTAAGCTGGACCATTATTAGTTTTAATGGTTTTGGGCTGCCCCATAAGCACAAAAGTTCAGAGAAGATGTTTAATGACATATGAGGCGGACTCTCCAGGAAGAGCATGAGCACTAATGAGGTGGAAATTGGTATCTATGGATACGAGTACCTATATTAGTTTTCCAAATTCAGGGACATGTGTAACATATGTTAACATGTGTGTAACTGATTAGGTTCTAGTCCTCTAGGGTTAATGCCTGTTGAAGAAGGGGACTTTCCTGTGAGCTGGCAATCTGGGCATTGTAAAATAATGTATTTAGCTAGTCTTTGGGCAAGTTAAAATTGTTTTGTTAAGTTTCTTTAATGTTGGTGGAAAAGTTTATGTGATTGGGTGGCTTGGTCAAGATGTAACGTCATAACCTGCAGGTCTGCTTCATTATTGCCGTAAACTAAGGGACCGGGCAGTGAGCTGTGAGCCTGAATGTTTGTAATAAAAATAGGATGTTGTGGGAGGGGGGTTTCCTGAGCAAAATGGCCAAATAGAAACAGCTCTGGTGCATTGCTCCCAACAAGATCGATGCAGAAGGCAGGTCATGTTCACATTTCCAACTGAGGTGTCTGGTTCATCTTATTGAAGCTGGTTGAGCAGTGGGTGCAGCCCAAGGAGGGTGAGCCAAAGCAGGGTGGGGCATCACCTCAACCAGGAAGGGCCAGGGGCTAGGGAACTCTCTCCTATCCAAGGGAAGCCATTAGGGACTCTTCCCTGCACTCCCCTGGAAAGAGAGTTGAAGCCAGGTAACAAAGTGGTCTGTCTCGGTGTGTCCCACCCCCATGGAGACAAGCAGGCTAAGATCCACAGGCTTGAAATTCTCACAGCCAGCACTGCAGTCTGAGCTTGATCTGGGTTGTTTGAGCTAAGTGTGGGGAGTAGCGTCTGCCATTGCTGAGGCTCGAGTAGGCAGTTTCAACCTCACAGTGTAAACAAAGCTGCCAGGAAGTTTGAACTGGGCGGAGCCTAACACAGCTCAGCAGCTGCAGGCAGACTGTCTCATTAGATGTCGTCACTGAGGAGGGTGTCTCTGAAAAAAGGCAGCAGCCCATCAGGGACTTATAAATAAAGCCCCACCTTCCTGGGACAGAGCACCTGGGAAAAGGGGAGGTTGTGGGTACTGCTCCAGCAGACCTAAATGCCCCACCTGGCAGCTCTGAAGAGAGTGGCAGGTCTCCCAGCACAGCATTGGAGCTCTGATAAGGGACAGACTGCCTCCTCAAGTGGTTCCCTAACCTTCATGTATCCTGACTGGGAGACATCTCCCAGGAGGGGCTGACAGACACCTCATAACGGAGAACTCTGGCTGGCATCTGGCATGTACTCCTCTGGGATGAAGCTACCAGAGGAAGAAAGAGGCAGTGATTTTCTCTGTTTTGCAGACTTTTGCTGGTCATTTCCAGGCATGCAGGGTCTGAAGAGGACCTCCAGTGGACCTTCAGCAAAGGGGCTGGACTGTTACAAGGGAAACTAAAAAACAGAAAGAAATAGCTTCAACATCAACAGAAATGACGTACACTCAGAGACCCCATCCAAAAGTTACCAACTTCAAAGAACAAAGGTAGATAAATCCACAAAGATGGGAAGAAACCAGCACAAAAAGGCTGAAATTGCCAAAAACTGGAACACCTCCTCTCCTCCAAGGCATCATAACCCCTCACCAGCAAGGGAACAAAACTGGATAAAGAATGAGTTTGATGAATTGACAGAAGCAGGCTTTAGAAGGTGGATAATAACAAACATCTCTGAGCTAAAGGATCATGTTCTAATCCAATGCAAGGAAGATAAGAACTTTGAAAAAAGGTTAGATGCAATGCTAACTAGAATAACCAGTTTAGAGAAGAACATAAACAACCTGATGGAGCTGAAAAATACAGCACGAGAAGTTCGTGAAGCATACACAAGTTTCAATAGCCAAATTGATCAAGCAGAAGAAAGGATATCAGAGATTGAAGATCATCTCAATAAAATAAAGCAAGAAGACAAGATTAGAGAAAAAAAGAGTAAAAAAAAAAATGAACAAAGCCTCCAAGAAATATAAAAGTATGTGAAAAGACCAAAATGACATTTGAGGAGTATACCTGAAAGTGAAGGGGAGAATGAAACCACATTGGATAACACTTTTCAGGATTTTATCCAGGAGAACTTTCCCAATGTAGCAAGGAAGGCCAACATTCAAATTCAAGAAATACAGAGAACACCACACTCCAGAAGAGCAACCCAAAGACACATAATCATTAGATTCACCAAGGTTGAAATGAAGGAAAAAATGCTAAGGGCACCCAATGAGAAAGGTTGGGTTACTCACAAAGGGAAGACAATGAGACTAACAGCAAATGTCTTGGCAGAAACCCTGCAAGCCAAAAAAGAGTGGGGAGCAATATTCAATATTCTTAAAGAAAATAATTTTCAACCCAGCATTTCATATTCAGCCAAACTAAGCTTCATAGATGGAGGAGAAATAAAATTCTTTATGAACAAGCAAATGCTAAAAGATTTTGTCACCACCAGGCCTGCCTTGTAAGAGCTACTGAAGGAAGCACTACACATGAAAAGGAAAACTGATACCAGCTACTGCAAAAAGATACCAAATTGTAAAGATCATCGACACTATAAAGAAACTGCATCAACAAACAGGCAAAATAACCAGCTATTATCATAATGACAGGATCAAATTCACACAAAAGAATATTAACATTAAATGTAAATGGGCTAAATGCCCCAATTAAAAGACACAAACTGGCAAATTGGATAATAAGTCAAGGACCCTTTGGTCTGCTATATTCAGGAGATCCATCTTATGTGCAAAGACACGCATAGGCTCAAAATAAAGGGATGGAGGAATATTTATCAAGCAAATGGAAAGAAAAAAAAAAGCAGCAGTTGCAATCCTAGTATCTGATAAAACATTTTAAGCCAACAAAGATCAAAAGAGACAAGGGCATTACATAATGGTAAAGAAATCAATGCAATAAGTAGAGCTAACTGTCCTAATTTTATATGCACCCAATACAGGAGCACCCAGATTCATAAAGCAAGTTCTTAGAGATCTACAAAGAGACTTAGACTCCCACACAATAAAAATGAAATACTTTAACACTCCACTGTCAATATTAGACACATCAGCGAGACAGAAAATTAACAAGGACATCCAGGACTTGAACACAGCTTTGGACCAAGCAAACCTAGTAGACATCGACAGAACTCTCCACACCAAATCAACAGAATATACATTCTTCTCAGCACCACATCACAC